CTACTGAATAGTCGTCGCTTCAAGGATGCGGCTGGGTTAAGGCAACCACTGGCTACAAATAAATAAGCCATGTTGATGTATTTTTAGCGTGCTCCATGTATTATATGTACGAGCTACTCGTGTTGTAATTCTAGTGACCATCGCATAATATCATGAGACCATCATAATCTGCAAAGTCCGCCTCTACCACATAATCCAGGTAGCAGTACACCCCACATCTAGGATTGACAGACGCCGACAGCAATGATGCTTACCGATATATCGCCCCAACAACAAACCCGACTCCCAAAATAAGGCGAAAGTACTAAACTGAGGTGGCAATTTCTCAATTATGCAGATGTAATGTTGAATGGCCTTCGCGTTAATTTGATCAATTCGACTGTTATTGGTATATGAACGGCATTCCCTTCTTCAAAAATCGGGTTCACGACGATGTACTACCTACCTAGGTACCTTGACGTTCTGAGAAGCACCAATCGTATCATTTCTTTTAATCACTATCAAGCTCGTACTAGTTCGACGAGGGTTGCGGAAGCATTCAATCAATATAAATCCAATATATTAAGCCTGTCACATAAAATTCTTATTCAGCTGTATTTGAATATCACGGACCAACCCCGGAAGTTGCGGGAACCCAACCGTTTCTTTCATTTGTCTTTATCGGGGTCGGAAATACCCAACCACACTTGCCCTCCGGCCCAAAAAGAAAAGAAAAGAAAAGAAAATCGTGTCTGAAAGACTTGCTAGCCGTTTGACCTCGTTACTCAGTTCTAACGCAACTGATAGCAAACTACAAATTTGATCTTGGTGGAGGATCAGCGCGGGGTCCTGCTCAACCTACTTGCACACCCCACTTCCAGCAATATTCTCACGATGCATCCACCTGCACAAGTGCATGCCAGACTGACCTGTAAATAAGGAATGGAAGCAATGGAAGACAACACCCTTCCCTGGAGCCTTGATAAAGTTGAATCTGTAAGTGTGTTGCTACTTCTCATCTTTTTTTACACGGTGTTTGCATGCGTCTAGTCATTGCTGAGATAGCCTACAACAGTTGATCTCCTCACTCTACGAACCTGGTCAGCCCAATGCCATCACCGAGGCGCAGGCCCTGCTAGCCAATTTCCAATCCTCTCCTCAGGCCTGGATCTTGGCCCATGAGCTTCTAAGGCGACCGGATGAAAAGGGAAAATTCTTTGGAGCCCTCACCATTATTGTAAAACTTAACAGGGAAAGGTTGGCGATGCCAAGTTCCCTGCAGATGTCAGCAAGATAAAGCTAACGATCATCGCAGCTCGTCGCTCAGTGAGGAAAATGCACAAGAACTATTAGAGCACCTCATTGGATGGTATCGAGATTCTTTTGAGAATTACACTGGTCCCTTGGTGCCACGCAAACTATCATCAGCCCTCGCAACTTTCTTCCTCCACTTCCATCAACTGTGGCCGAGTTTTGTTCGCCACCTTAGCATATGCCTGGCCTCATGGCAGTACTTTGACCCTCTTTCTCTACAATCTTCCTTCGATGTAGGTCGTGTCTTGGATACGCTAGATTTGAACAAACTAAAAGCCGTCTTATGGGTCGTCACTAGTATCGTGGAGGATGTCATCAGAATTGACTGGAACACAGCAAATGGGTGAGTTAGTTCAACCGTGTGCATAGCAATTAAATGCTTATGTATTGGAGGGTCCATCTTTACAACTCCGTTGTTCGAGAAGCCACGGATGCAGCAACTCTGTTATTCAAAGGCTTGGCCGAGACCCAGATGGCCGCTGTCAGTAACGACAGTATCAAGTGTCTCCAGGTATTTCAGTCCACTATCTCATATACAACTATCATCCATGAGCTAACAGCTCCACAACTAGTCGTGGATATCCTTTGCTCAGAAAGCATCCTCTCGCGACAGTCACGTTCTGGCCTTGTTGAGAAACCTGATGCCTAGTGTCATAGAGTCTCTTATTTCTGAAAGCCGCTTCGGTGCTTCGGCTGAGCTACTCATAGATACTTTGTCTAATTATCCTTCTCTTCTATCAGAGCACCATTTTAACCTTTTGGTGAACCTCTTTGTTAGTTCTTGGGCGGATGAACGTTACAGCAGGCTCCTCGAAGGCGACATAGAATTCGAATCAGCCCAATTTGGGCAGTTGCTCTTGGCATTTGGCGAGGAAAAGTGCCAATGGTTAATGCAGTCTGAAGACCCCCGGAGCAAGGTCTTGCTTTCCATGCTATGTGGCTTACTGGGATCCGATGGCTATCCAGTAGCTGAGAACAGAGTCTTCGTGCCAGCTATCGAATTTTGGTCCACCTTCACTGAAGTTATGTCAGATCTTGTCACTTTGGATGATATCTCTACTACTCCCTGGGCGGAGTCGGCGTTATTGCAGGTTCTGGAAGTGGTTTCAGTCGCATGCCGTAAAATCACCTACCCCCCGGCAGAAGAATTCAGCCAGTGGGACTCTTCCGATCGAGTAGGTTTCTCAGACGCTCGAAAGGACGTTATTGACCTGTTACAATCAGCATATAGTCTATCAGGCTTTCAGCTGGTAGCCACTTTTTCCAATCTTGTACTCACTGCATTAAACGACTGTGCGTGGTTACAGCTAGAGACAGCTGCTTTCTGTCTTGCTGGTCTTGCGGATTGTAGCAAAGACGATGTTCGCCTAGACGAGGCACTTGGATCAGTCTTCGAATCTTCTTTGTTCTCACATCTCTCATCCCCGAACACCGATATCACCTTACGGACGCGGCAGACGTGCCTCTACCTCATAGAACAATATACGGAATACTTCGAACGAAATGTTTCTTCCCTTGCTCCCGCATTAAGGCTCTTATTCAGTCTGTTGGGAAATCCGTCTATGGCGGCACCGGCATCGAGATCAATTCTTCGACTATGCTCCTCTTGTCGGCATCACCTTCACGCAGAGACAAACGGGTTCCTCGATGAATATCAGACCTTAGCTGAGCAACAGAGACTCGATTGCATATCCTCTGAAAGAGTCCTCGCCGCCATTGCATCAATTGCACAAGCCATTCCCGACGCTCCTCGGAGATACAACGCATGCACAAGGCTAATAGAATTTATTCAAAACGATAGTGCTCGCGCAAGGGAGCTAGCTCAGCTTCCTTTAGGTACCAAGCTGCCCTGTTTTGGTCAGCGATGCATAGAAAATTCCGCCGACGACTCGCCCGGACTACATATCGCGTTAAAGACTCTGCGTTGTTTAGTTGGTATCGGGAGAGGTCTCCAAACTCCCGTAGAGTCAACCATTGACCTTGACGCAAGCAACCCGTCGGAAGCTGAGTATGATGACCAGTTGGAAAGGCTTCACAGACAGGTTGTCCGAATCATCATGGACATTGAAGATACTTTTGGTAGAAATAGTGAGGTCAACGAGCTCGTTTGTGCCGTCCTCCGTTGTGGCTTCTCAGAAAGCGAACCAGGACCGTTCGTGCTTGGGTTTCAAGATGTCACCAGCTACTTGACCCGTCATGTCGGAAATATTCCCAGGCCAGGGATATTTGTTTCCACTGCTTGCTCGTTTGTCAGCTCTCTCTATGCACAGGGAAATCCCAATAAAGGGACGGTATATACAACATTACTACTGTGGGTAATACGGTTGCTTCAACAATCGTCTGGTAAGCAAATATTGGCTCATTGACTCGTCGCTGAGAAAGCCACTAATATGTCCGTGCATCTGTCTTGGGTGTGGTAGACCCAGAGCATGATCCAGAATTATCTCAAAATAGCATCGATTTTGCTTGCCGGCTGCTGAGCAAAAGCCCAACAAGCCTGCTCACACTGCAACCAACAACTGCCGCTGAATATTTTTTTCTCTTCACCATACAGGTTTTGGATGGTAGTGAACCCCTACCAAAGGCGGCAGCAGCAGAGTTCTGGGTATGTATCCTGATTACCTAGCCCAGACAGATGGCCTGGTTGCTTTTGTTTAATCTACTATTCTGGCAAGCCCGTCACTTCCTTTTTTCCCCCTTCCCTTTCTCCGTACTGAAGACTTTCTTTCACCTTGCCAGCTGCTAGAGAGAAGTCAGCGGCTAATGATTCATCATTGTTAGGCAACGTTTATAACACTCAAAGGTGGTCATTCAGAAGCATCGGATGCTGCAGAGCAAGCGATGGGGACTCTAGGTCCTCTCCTTGCTCGAAGCCTGGCTAGAAATATCGGAGGCCGAGCCTCAAGAAGCGAGCTGGATAGACTTAGCGAACCCATAAAGAAACTAGTCAATTGTTACCCTTTGGCAAAAGAGTGGCTACAGAGTGGGCTCGGTCACACGTCATTTCCAAGTTCCAAGGTGACAGAGGAACAGAAGGCATTATTCGTCAAGAAGGTAGTAAGGTACGTTTGCGTCCTTTCACATTCGGCAATCCGTTAGTGTGCTAACCCGTTGTTGAAAATATAGTCTCAGGGGCTCTCGAGCTACGAACCAAGTTGTGCGTGATTTTTGGTTGTCCGCTCGAGGTAGTAGCTTCGCATACGCTTCTTAACCATTTGGAGTCGTATATATGAACACATGGGTGGCTTTTCATTCTGGAGATGAAGGATGTCCATTCAACCTCTAAATGAAAAATAAAATGTTTATCTTCCTGGTTATCGAGAGGAGCAACAGCCAAGAAAGGCATGTGGTTTTCCTGGTCATTCCATGCATTGCCATAAATTGACAATATCGAATGGACCCGATTGGCATCCACGACCGTCATATCTATGCTTGTTCTGTGTGAGGAATTGAGTGGCTTACTTTCGCCACCGTAATATATTACAAGGTGACATTTTTTTATACAAAACGCCTCGACCAGGCGGTAGCGCGCTCCTCCACCGGTGGCTACGGAGCCTAAGTATGACGGCTTCCCTTCTCATGGGGCCAGCAGCGCCACTATGGGCACTCCTGTTGTTTACAGAGGTGAGGGCACACGTCCTACTGTTATTCAAGTCCGAAGCTTACAGCAAGGAGTGATGAGACACAGCCCTAGGTTTCAGCGGTGCTCACAGTCCCACAGCTGTTCTCACCATGCCCATTGTTTCTTCCGCACTTTGCAATGCTTTTCGCGCACCGTCAGCAGCCACATGATCCAAATAATGGGTATCGCTGTCAATAAGCTTGATATACCGAGTCCTAATGCCCTGCAGTCCAAGAATGACCGCATCGGATACCATATCCTTGAACAAGCGAGGATGAGTATCACTGTATGCCTGTGCAAGCTGCTCAGGGCTTCGTTTCTCCGCGTCGAATATAGAGAAGAGGCTCAGGAGATTTGATATACCCGGCCTTAGAGCGTGGTCATAGGATATTCCATGGACGGAGTCAGTCAGGGCGGAGGAAATTTTGAGTCTAATCTCATCAGGGGTATCGGTGATCAGAATTCGTGAACGAGCCAGTTTGTGTGACTTGGACATCTTCGATGTTGGGTCTGAGAGGGACATGACTCGATGCACCGGGGCTGGATACGCTGTGTGATTAGCCTATGATGATGGAGCAGTCGGGACTAATACACATACGAGTAATAGTTTTCGGCTGAATTAGACATTCCCCATATGCGTGGTTAAAATTAGTGACACACTCCCGGGCGAATTCGAGGTGTTGTTGCTGATCATGTCCAACGGGAACATGGGTGGCTCTACAAAATAGTGAGTTCAATTCGACATGGACTCCCACCACGATCAGGGTGTAGTCACACACCTATGGACGAGTATATCAGCAGCTTGGAGGACTGGATAGGAGAAAAGCCCAAGCTTCAATCGGCTTTCAGCCGGCCGGTCTTCCATGTGTGAATTTGGTGCAAGGTTGAGTTTTTGCTACCATGGGTGTCAGCGCATGCAGTAGGAAACCGACTTTTGTCTCAGTCAACTCGGGCAGTATTCGCACCTTCCATTGCGTCATCCGGGAGAGATATCCAACAGACGCTGTACAGGCTAGGATCCACATGAGCTCTGAATGAGCAGGTACCTGTATCATTTTGTCAGGCTCTCTGGCTCTGGTCTGTGTGCGTACGCCTTGGGGTTGGTGTCCTTTTGGAACTTACGGAAGACTGGTAGAAGAGAATGGACCGCTCTGGATCAATTCCTATTGCCAAAAGCGCGGCGAGGCTTTCTCTCTTCCACCGCTTCAATTTTTCCGGCGATTGGGGCGTGGTAATAGCATGGAGGTCGACAATGGAATATATCAGCTTTGTATCCTTGTGCTCATGGTGTTGCAGCTGCACCCATTGCCGTAAGGCGCCGACATAGTTGCCCAGGTGCGGTATGCCAGTAGGCTGGATCCCTGAGAATATAACCCTGGGCCGTATGGCTGTAGATTTGTTGATAAGGCGCTGCATCTAGTTCCGTTATAGGCACGCCGCTTGGATGTGTGAGATGGTAGGTTCCGTATATGATGCAAGAGGCACGTGCCTCACCAATCCAACAAGTAAGGGGATAGTATGTTGGTGGTGATCTGGCTATTCGTATCGCGTTTCGGTCATTGATAAGTCTAGGTGTCCTATGTGGTTGAGATCTTTCGATTTTTGCAAATGTACCGGGAGCCGAGCTTGCCCCTGGCTTAGTTTGATCGCCTGCCGCTTTATGGCTAGGTACCTACTTAGCTTGGCCAGGTTGCGAGAAGCAGGCGCAGGGAGCGAATGTGTTATGTGGGGCTATTATTTGGGTCAGGGCCAACCACGTGTGTTACTGCGGAATGGTGAAGAGCTTCTGCGTACAGAGTACTCCTGGTCATTCATCCAGGGCAAAAAATAACTACATGTAACTAACTACCCTACTTAAGTACTTAAAGTAAGTACCTGCTTTAGGTACCTACCTAGGTACCTAGGTAGGTAGGTAGGTGCTTACCTTTAAGTCTAGGTACTTTACTTGCTTAGTAGGTACTAGGTAAGTACTTAAGTAGTGAATGCACTTGAGTGTGGACGGGTCGACTCTAGGCACGTTCCAACGGCCATCGGGCAGTGCCTAAGTATTTACACCTTCAGGTGTTCAGTGGGTGACAATACCATATGCAATAAGTACGTTGCCGTTTGAAAATGCTAATACCGTCCGTATCCCGCATATGGTGCTTGGACAGCTTTACAGAAAGGGAAGCTCCCCGCCGGCGGAACAATTAGGCGAGGGACTTTTTATTCCCCTGAGTGGCATGGTACTATTCAGTGACAAGAGGTCTGGGGCTTCTATCGGCAGATAACCAACGGCAATAAAAACTGGCTGACATTGCGGAGTAATTCTAATATGTTTGATCTGGCGCTGGCAGAGAGAACTGAGATCTCTTGCCAGGCACCCTAGACCGAAAACGGTGTCCGGGAATCTCCACGGCATGCTTATTTATTGGTATTTGCGGGACCACGACATGGCCGTAACATACAGTGTAATTGGCCTTGTGATGATATGCGATGTCTGCTGTAGAGTAATTGTAATTGTGTTGTGCCATCGTGATCATGATGTGAGTCCTCTGCCCGGCCTTCCTGGAATAGCACTACCCCTTCTGCCTTGACAGCACCCAACCGCCATATAGGTTATCCAGAGCCGTCTATACCCGTACCCTCCCAAGTACCTACCCTGGGTACCTACCTACCTAGGTACTTAGTAGGTAGGTATGTAGGTAGTACTCCGTAGGTCTGGTAGCTCCATGTCAGAATCGCGCGGCATTAAGCCGAACACTGGTCCCTAGGATGGGCCGAAACTACGCCCGCTACTTACTTAAGTATGATGTAAATAGGTATCTACCCCTCCCAGACCAGAACCGCAAAACAACATCGTTCCCGACCGCACAGCTTGCGATAAGACGACAACACCCGTCAATCAGCCGGCACTCTCCTTCCCCATTGCGCAACCATAGGGTCGGTCAATGCTCGGCAGACCACTCCCCGCGTTACCACGCACATTACGAGCATACACTCTGTACAATCATACAAAGCGTCGCCCAGTAACTACGACAGCCATGGCGGATTCCTCCCCGCAGCTCGCAAAGCTGAGGAGCTTGATGAAGGAAAGGAAGGTCCATGTCTATGGTAGGTAATAGCCTGACCGATTGAAGTGGACCGGCGATCCAGTTGCCATGTATTGCCCTAACTCATCAACACAGTTATCCCGTCCGAAGATAGCCACAGCTCAGAATACATTGCCGCCTGCGATGCCCGCCGGGAGTTCATGAGTGGATTTACAGGATCGGCAGGGTGTGCCATCGTCACACTCGAGGCCGCCGCGCTTGCCACAGATGGTCGATACTTCAACCAAGCTGCCAAACAGCTAGACGGCAACTGGACCTTACTCAAGCAAGGACTGCAAGATGTCCCTACCTGGCAAGAATGGGCTGCCAGCCAGTCTGCGGGAGGGAAAACCGTGGCCGTCGACCCATCACTCCTCCCTGGGTCGGCTGCCAAGAAACTCAATGACCAAGTCCGCAAGGCGGGCGGTGCTGATCTGGTTCCCCTCGATGAGAATATTGTAGATATAGCATGGGGCGATAGCCGTCCCGAACGTCCTTGTCAATCAGTCAGCGTCCTACCCGACGAGCTTGCCGGAAAGCCGGTCACAACAAAAATCGAGGAACTGCGCCAGGAATTAGCCAAAAAAAATTGCCCCGGTTTCTTTGTGTCCATGCTGGACGAAGTTGCGTGGCTCTTCAATCTACGGGGTAATGACATACCCTACAACCCGGTGTTCTTCTCATATGCCACTATCACGCCGGAGACGGCAATCCTATACGTTGACGAGTCCAAGTTGGACGAATCCTGTAGGGCACACTTACGGGAGAATAATGTCCAGGTCAAACCTTATGACTCGTTTTTCCCTGATGCCCGCCAACTGCATACCGAGGTCAAGGCCAAGCGGCAGGCCGGTGGAGATGGTGTTGTGGTAGGCAACTTCCTGATATCGAACAAGGCCTCATGGGCAATGAGCCGAGCGCTCGGAGGTGACGGCTCAGTAGAAGAGATGAGGAGCCCAGTTGGTGATGCAAAGGCTGTCAAAAATGAAACCGAAATGAATGGCATGCGAGCCTGTCATGTCAGAGACGGAGCTGCCCTAATCGAGTTCTTTGCTTGGTTAGAGGACCAGCTCGCTGACAAGAAGATCATGATTGACGAAGTGCAAGCAGCTGACAAACTAGAGGAATTGCGATCGAAACATCAACATTTTGTTGGCTTGTCGTTTCCCACCATATCTTCTACCGGAGCAAAGTAAGAGCTGGACCCAACTAATGATAACTTGACAGACCAGTCAGGTTTGTGTCTCTTGCGTCCATGGCAGTCGTTAGCTGACGTACAACTCCAACAGTGCAGCCATTATCCACTATGGCCCCGAGAAAGGTAGCTGCGCGACAATCGACCCGGGAAGAGTGTATCTCTGCGATTCCGGAGCGCAGTATCGTGATGGAACTACAGACACGACGAGGACGCTACACTTTGGGAAGCCCAGTGATGCCGAGAAAAAAGCATACACGCTTGTCCTTAAAGGCCTCATCGGTCTTGATACAGCAGTCTTCCCGAAAGGCACTACAGGGTTTGCCCTGGACTGTTTAGCTCGGCAGCACCTTTGGGTTAGTATCGATGATCAACAGTCAGGCAACAATATGCGCTGACGCTCTCTGCATGTAGAAAAACGGGCTCGACTACCGACATGGCACGGGCCATGGCGTGGGTTCATATCTCAACGTCCACGAAGGCCCAATTGGTATTGGAACCCGCGTACAGTATACCGAAGTCCCACTGGCTCCCGGAAACGTGCTCTCCAACGAGCCGGGCTACTATGAAGACGGAAATTTTGGTATCCGGATCGAGAATATCATGATGGTTAGAGAGGTTCAGACGGAACATTGCTTTGGAGACAAGTCGTATTTGGGTTTCGAACACGTAACCATGGTTCCCTATTGTCAAAGCTTGATTGAGAGAGATATGCTTACTGCAGATGAAAAGGCTTGGCTGAATGCATACAATGACGAAGTTCTGAAAAACACCAAGGGCTTTTTTCAAGGCGATGACTTGACAATGGCATGGCTTACACGGGAGACACGACCAATTGAGTAGATATAGTTATACCGTTAAAAGAGCCCGCACTATTCACTATCCATTAAAGATGAACAAACGCAGCCAATACATATGTTATAGCAAATGAGGATGTGAACCAAGGTTTTTTTGTACAAGCCTGGCAAAGTGCAGATATTCCGGGAACTTGACCAACCCCAGCCAGGCGTGACAGGTCATATCCATATTTGGAAGCGAACTTGTTTCGTCAGTATCGAGACAAATGAGGTGCGCAATCCGAGCAAAGCCCTGTTTATTGGTTTACAGGCCTGACAGCTAGCCAATCCATCCAGGGAGAGCAGGTATTTACTCACGTGGAAGGATAGGGCGATAGCACCACCAAGGAAGACAAGAGTTCGAGAAAACAAGGCCGTTAGAAGTCCAGCCAAGAGGCCTGCCGTCGGGGAGTCATATCAGTAATGACCGATACAAGCCAACGTCTGGGGCCTTATTTCAAAAAAAGTTCTAAAGAAAAGTTACTGACCTGCAAGACTACCGTTAGAGATTTGCCGAACAATCTCGGGGGATATCCCAGTGCGCCGAAGCCGATTCCGTGATGGCGTAGAGGACGGATCGAGTACCGGTCGGGCATCGAGCCGAACGTATGATCCGTTTACCAGGATTGAGCTGGTGCAAATGCATGTGCCAGCTCCAATAGCAAGGAGTTGTGCGGGTCTCCAAAGGCTGCGAAAAGGGAAAATACGGCTCATCGTAAAGCGAATAGTAAAACTGCTTGAATACTTTATTTGTTGTAAGGGGTTGTGGCCAGTGCCTCCTACACAACATGAGGGGTCCTGCTGGAAACGAACCAGGGATGCTTGGTTACGTCATCCCCAGAGACAGCAGCATATGTGGCCATGAGTTTCGGTCCTCAGCTTGGTGCCTGTGAGGCAATCCATCTACGTACCTAGGTGACTACTAGATCAGTTCAATCTCAGATTCACACATAATCTCAGGATACGACATATAGATTCCATTTTCAGTTTATTTGCGGGTGAGATGGCTGGAGGCCTCGACAATGGGAGATGAAGAATGACAGGCAAGACACTTGGTTCAGGGCACCGGGTGTCAGTAAAGCTCTATATGTGAATCGCTAAACCACGTTTCCTGAAGTTGATGAACACCAACACTAAAAGAACCAGACACTCGAAGCTGGATTTGTCTGAAATTCTAATCTCTTTAACTTTGACATCAAGTCTCTCCCTAGCCCAAACCTGCCCATATACCACGAATTCGTCTAGCAAGTTGAATGTCCTTTTGCATAATCGTTACCCTTTTCGCATGAATGGCACATAGCTGGGCGTCTTCGAATAAGTGAACCATGAAGGCTTCAGCAGCTTCTTGTAGCGCTTGAATAGCCTGACTCTGCCAACGGAATTCTCTGCCTCTTGGTCGACAGTTCATGCCGATTTCCTGTACCTGCATAAGGACATGTAAGTAAATAAATATGCATATAGGAACTCCTACAAACGCACCAAGCGCATAAATGGCAGCTTTAAGAGCAGAAGCTTTGTGGTACCCTGGTATTGCCTGATCTCACGTAGAGCTGTTGTACCTGGGCGATATCGTCTTTTTTGTCGTATAGGAACAGGGTCACCAGCTATCAAGATGGTCAGAAGGCCCAAGAATTAATGCACATGAGTGGGATCGCGAAAGCCATCCACAAACCTTGAATATCCCCAGGTCGAGGATTCCATTTTGGAGTTGGCCTGGCTTTTCTCACCTTCATAGCCATGTCTCAAGGGGGAGAGGAGCCAGATGCTCCCCATGTGACCGAGAATTCGGAAGATGATATACTGCGAGGGCAAAGTTAGAAGGTCCGCTGTGAACTAAAGCATTAGGGGCTTTGGTTGATGGCGAGAAAACACACACACACACACACAAGTGCCTGGATGGTGGTAATTACTCACCGATGTATATGGGTGGTAGAAAACCCACTTGGAGGGATGCGGAAGTTGATGCAGATTGGGACTCAGCTCAATCAGGTATTCTGTTAAGCACATCAATGAAAACCCGGTTATACCAGGCCGATACATTGGATCATGGGCTTCACGCGTTAAAGAAACATTGAATGTAGTAGCCACCAGCAACCTGCCAGGCATACTACTAGGTAGGTAGCTGCAGGGTCGCCGCAAGGTGTAAAATTTACGCACAGTATAAGCACCGTGCGGGCAACACTCGCGTGCTCCCAATCTGTTAGGTTGTGTTATGTAATGTCAAGTCGGCCGAGCTCAAGATGCCCTGGCCCAATTCTTAGGGACGGCTGGCCACTAAAGCTGACTAGTGGGTGGCTCCTAGCTGTCACTTTTCCCCTGCACACTGCTATCACAAAGGCCACCTCTTCATACCCGCTTGATTCCCAAGCTTCCCCTACTCCATAAGCAAAGGGTCTGTGTCTGATACAAAATAAATGACATAGATGAGGTCGCATTTTATATTTTACACCTGAAGCTCATTTCTCTTACTTGTCCGCGTTTTCTGCCCGCCTCAGCTGGGTCTGCCTGTCACTAGCAACGCGACACTCGGAGTTTCGGAAACACCAAACAACATCATTTCACTCTCTTTTTTTGTTAGGCCACTCACCATGGACCAAGTCATGGACGGCGGCCGTTTGCCGCTGGAGGAATGGTTCTGGGAAATGCCTGTCTGTACCCGTTGGTGGACGGCTGCAACTATTTTGACAAGTGCCCTTGTCCAGTGCCACATGGTCACTCCGTTTCAACTTTTCTACAGCTTCCGTGCCGTGTTTGCCAAATCACAGGTATGTGAGCGCAGCCCTCTCTCCTTTTATTTTGTCCCTCCAATGCCTGCAGGGCCCGGCATACCTCTTTGCGGCTCAGCGTTTATCAATTCTCTGTTCTGGCACTTTTCTGTCTCTCGTTCCGTGGCTGATATCTGGCCTCAGTTTTGGCGACTCTTTACTACATTCCTTTATTTTGGACCCTTCTCACTCGATCTACTGTTTCACATATATTTCCTACAGAGGTACGCCCGACTGCTTGAGGAGTCATCAGGACGATCACCAGCCCATTTTTCCTGGCTTCTTTTTTACGCCATGACCAGTCTCATCGTTTTGTCGCCTTTGGTCTCTATGCCGTTTCTTGGCCAGCCACTCTCCTCGACCCTGGTATACATCTGGTCTCGGCGCAATCCCGACACCAGACTCAGCTTTCTTGGGCTTTTGGTATTTACCGCGCCATATTTACCATGGGTTCTCATGGCTTTCAGCCTCTTCATGCATGGGTCCATCCCCAGGGATGAAATCATGGGCGTGGTCATAGGCCATATTTGGTACTTTTTCAATGATGTTTACCCACCCCTTCATAATGGATCTCGACCATTGGATCCTCCTGTATGGTGGCGACGTCTTTTCGATGGCCGGGGAACAGAAGAGTCGCAGGATGGGCTAAACAACGATCTCATTGCTGCAGCTGGCCCTGGCGGCAGGGAGCCCGCAGCAGCAAACGTCTTGTAGCAACCTCTGGAGCTCTAAGAATGGCAATCTATAATATAGTGTTGCATGGGCGTTTGCCACTGACTCCGGCACGTAGATGGATGATTTTGGCGATGTCATACTGCTATCACAGGAGGAAATATTTTGACTTTTATCTAGGCATGGGCACAGGCGTTGAACCGGGTTTCTTTGGTCATTATATCAGCTATTAAATAGTTTTAGCCGGATTACAGTGCTGCCTATGGAAATACATGGTCGAGCAGAGTGATCAATTTCCACAGACAAGTTGGCCTCTCGGGTATTTCTCGAGACGCACTTTAGCTGGTAGAAGGCGGCTGTTCGTGGGAAAATGAAGACCTAGACTTGAATAACTGAAAGAGCGTGCTAAGACGTAGGACGGACGGCACAACGGTGGTTACGCTGTTGAATCGGAGGAATGACGCCATTCCTGAAGCTTCCTCTGACAGGCGCGCTTCAGAATTAGTAATATCTCCACGCCTCGTGCATCCGCCAGTCCCAACCCCACCAAGCTGCCTACGAGGACGACGACTTGGACAGAAAATGCGCGCCCGTCCAAACTCACCTTGCATGGCTCTCTACCCACGTGCCTCAGCACTAGAGACGTGATTAGCCACTTGTAGAGCTGCGAGTACAATACCGATACTGTGTTAGAGGGCAATTTGTTTCAACCACAACGTCGGCGCCTTGTGGTCTCTTTCCCACTTCTGCGGCCCTTCTCTCCTCGGACGTCGTTTCACCTGCTAGACAATATGAAAGCATACATGTACGATAATCAACCGGTAAGTAACCAGGATCATTGGGTTCATGTCACAAAAATGCTCATGCAACTTCGCTGGCTAGGGGGACCAGCGCTTACCCCACGATTCCGGCCGAGCCATCAGCACCGAAGCACTGGGGAAACTAGGCGTGCTATACTTCCACTTTGCCAATATTGCCGATGTAGACAGACTGGCTGCTGATCGCGGATACAAAAATCGGGATGAAATCACAGTCTCGCCTGAAAAAATGGGCGGCATGTACGAAGATAAAGTCAAAATGTTCTTCAATGAACACCTGCACGAGGACGAGGAGATTCGGTATATTAAGGGCGGTCAAGGTTTCTTTGATGTTCGGAGCAAAGATGATAACTGGGTTCGAGTGCGACTCGAGAAAGATGACCTGCTCATTCTTCCTGCTGGTATATATCATCGCTTTACCACAGACGAAGCCAATGTACGTGTGCTTTTTGTTGATCCTACTCTTTATTTCCATGACTATTGACCAGGTTCCCGTTCCTCGAATAGTACGTACATGCCATGAGGCTCTTCAAGGACGAGCCCAAATGGACGCCATTGAATAGAAGCGCAGAGCTGAAGGAGAATTCGTTCCGTAAGGCCTATGTTGGGCAATACTTGAGCCAATAAACTTCAGCGCGACTGGAGGAACGGGGTGTCATTATTCATCCGTCTTTGGGCAGACAATAGTAGGAGTTACGAGAGAACGTAGCTATGGTAACAGCACAATGCCGGATACGGTCATATATTTTATATACTAGTAGGAAAGAGTGCATTGATACGGGTTCCCGGCTATTGCTATCAGCTGCTATTTTCACATATAACGCTCTGGCAACGCAGCAATTATCGCGAAAACTGTGTAAAACGACAAAAAAAAAAAAAAACAGGCAATAGCCGCATCAAGCAGTCTTCTTTGAGTAAGTTTGTGCAATAACATAATGACATTGCTAAAAGCTGTGTTATTCGCCTCTGCTTAAAGCCCCCGTCCCTGCATGTGAAAATGTTAGACTGAGTTTGGTCGGTGGTGGGCCGATAGTAGCCCCGATAGCAAAGCAGTTTTTCCCCTACCTCTCATGAATTCCTGTTTATTAAGAACTTGCAACCCCAGCCGCCACATGCCAAAGGCCGTAGGTCAGTTAAGGCGCCAAGAGCGTGTAGCAGCAAAATACCACTACCACCAATAGCAGTGTGGGCCCTCACAACAGATCTGCTTGTCCATAATTCGTCTCGCTCAAATCCAACTTATTATAGTAGCCATGGGAGTTAGACGCCTGGCGCTATTGTGAGAGTTTGATATTTAATAACAAAAGGGCAGCGAAAATACGTACATCCCCGCGACAGAGAGCCAGCCGGTTCCATGGATTCCCTACCTTACGAGAATGCACCAGACGTGCCGGACGGTAATTCCAATAAGCCGCGACTCCAGCTCCCAGCGAGCTGTGACCCCCCATCAATGAGCTCACCTGCAAAGCAGCTTGTATGGATAGTAAGCGCAAGTCTCCTGCTACTTGAATACGCGTTTTACGTTTATATGTATGCTTATATATATTCTCACTCAGATATTCGGGGGAACTGGCCATATGGGCCGGTCACTCGTAAAATACGCACTGTCTCGTGGGGACTTGGTGACTTCAGTCGGACGAATCCACGAATCTAACATTGATGACATTGCAAACATACATCATGACAATTGCCTTGGAGCCCTTTGCGATGTACGCTCTCGTGATTCAGTTGCCAAGGTTGTTCAGGATGCACTAGATCGGTTCCGACGGTTTGACGTCGTTGCGAACTGCTCCGGCCACGGAGTCATTGGTTCGTGCGAGGATCAGGATGAGCATGACCTCCGTAATCAGTTTGAGACGAATTTCATTGGAACGCTTCACATCATTCACACCACGCTCCCTTACTTCCGGAGACAGAACAGTGGCCGCTATCTCATATTCAGTTCGACTTCTGGAGCACTTGGAGTCCCAGGGTTGGGACCTTACTGCGCAACCAAGTACGCTGTTGAAGGTTTGATTGAAGCAATGCTATATGAGACTGATTCTTTTAACGTCAGGGCCACGTTAATTGAGCCAGGTTTGGTGAGACGTGATGAGCCGGATACTGGCGATAGTCCCCTGCCAACCTGGGGCCATTTTCTCATCAAGCCCTCAAGTAATGGATACGGAAATGCAACCTCTCCAGCGCTTCATGCAAGGAGAATGGTACAGTGGCTTGGGGACCGCCAACCGACCAGTGCAGTAAAATGTGCCGAGCTTGTGTGGCAGCTGGCACACTGCACATACCCGCCCCTGAGGCTCTTGTTGGGGAGCTACGCAATTGAGAGCATTCGGGATAGAATGCGCTCAGTTACCGAGGAGTTAGAAGACTGGAAACATCTCAATTTTGCTACGGCGGGGCAGGAAAGCGAGAGGGACGATAAAGAATGAATTCGTAGTGGCAAATAACAATAATCTAAAAAAATGCTCGCACCGCTATTTTTTAAGAAAGCATACCTACTTAACAATACTACGCTTGCACGAGATTTAATGCTGGAGAGGAACAAAAAAAACATTATAATTATTTATAGGTTTTTTCTATCTTTCTTTCTTTCTTTCTTTTTTTTTTTTTTAGAAAACAAAGATCTAAATAAACTCTTACTTTTTTATTTATTTATTATATTTCTACTAAAAAATTTGATTAATTCACTATAATTATTCGCGTTAGTATAATAAAATAAAATAAAAGAGCACTATAGCCGCGCAAGAAAAAAAAAAAAAGGCAGTAGTGCCGTAAAATCCACTAACAGGAAAAAAGAAAAGAAAAGAAAAGAAACAGAAAAAATTAAAATCAACTAGATAAAGCAGCGCTGCGTTTTATTATTATGAATTTTTTTTAAAAAAAATTAACATTCGATGAGGCGCTATTTATCCCTTCTCTCGTACCCCTCCTCCTCTCGAGTGAACTACTGGTTTACAGCTAGCTGTTCACAGAAGAGCTGCCTTGAGGCTCAACCACTTGCAACCTGACTTCCCACAATAGCATCTATGCCATATCGTCATGTCAGATAGACCAGTTCCTACACAATGCATTGGGTCAAGCCACCGGCCAACTGGTGAGAAACCCAGTGCCACGCTCTCAGCGGGAGTTAACTTTGATAATGTTTGCATCCTTCCTCAAACCCCACAGCTAATTGCCCTCCTCTCGTAAGTTCACAGAAGTACTGGAATACAAGGTTTTTTTTCTGTACCAACTTAATATTACAGAATGATACGGAATAAGAACACCGAGCGAGCCGACTTCATTTTCTATTCGAACCGTATTATTCGCCTCTTGGTAGAGGAAGGCCTCAATCATCTTCCTGTTATAGCACAGACTATCACCACACCAGTTGGCCGCACTTATGATGGGCTGATGTTTCAGGGGAAGATATGTGGAGTTTCGATTATGCGAGCAGGCGAAGCGATGGAACAAGGACTGAGAGATTGCTGTCGGTCTGTTAGGATCGGCAAAATTCTTATTCAACGAGATGAAGATACGGCGCAACCGAAACTCTTCTACGACAAGCTACCAGAAGATATTGCTGATCGCTGGGTGCTTTTATTGGACCCCATGTTTGCAACAGGTGAATTATACCAGGCGGCGTCTGTCGTGAGTGACCTGCAGTCGATTGATATACTAATCTGCTCGTGTATCATGCAGGAGGATCTGCCATCATGGCAGTACAAGTGTTGAAGGCACGTGGAGTACCGGAGGACCACATTCTTTTCCTCAACATCATCGCTAGCCCGGAAGGCGTTAATAATTTTGCCACTAAGTTCCCTCGACTGAAAGTTGTCACTGCCTTCATTGATCAGGTATGGTCACCCGGCTTTTGCCCAGAGCATAGTTGATGTAACAAGCTGACCCGTGGACCACGCAGGGTTTGGATGAGAAGAAGTATGATTCAAGAGCCACGAACAAAGTGAAACTCGAGCTAACCTTCGTCAGCTATATCATCCCGGGTCTAGGAGACTTTGGTGACAGGTTCTATACAATTTGAAGTGTACAGAGGGTTAGGAAATATACACCTGTATGGCGGCTATGGTGGTTCGTCGTCTGGTCGAGGGTTGGTTTCATTTGTGAGGAAGAAGGCATTGCAGGGCTAATCAGTATTCTTCATCATCCGCAACGACTCCATCGCCTTCATAATGTGCATCGTCTTCGTCCTCGCCCTGGGCAGCTCTGCCACTTTGGCTACGTTTAGTTGCGTTGAATGCCCTTGCCGTCGTGCTTCCGTAGTTTCCCGCCGCCGTGTCTGCTTTCGCAACTGCATCTGTGTATCGGAGGTGATTAGCTCAGGTTATTCATACACATCCACACAGTAAGAATGTGAGGTTCAATCGCCTTCTCGCTTACCGGCGGCATCTACCCATTCACCATACACGTCGACAGCGGCAGAGAGATCTGTATGTACGTGCCAGAGCGTTAGCTAGACTGATTGAATCAATAAGCTACGCGGTAAAGAATGGTGCAAAGACAGACAGTTAACGGCACATTGAAATTTCTGGCCACAGATACGACAGTCTAATTGGCCAACACCCGCTTTTCTGTCCAGTTTGACGCTGACGGATTTCTCATGATTGCAGAAAAGACAAGTGAATGTTGATGGTAAAGGGTCAGACTACATTTTAGTTAGAGAATAAGTCTGTCAGCCACTCATTAGAGAAAAAAAATTATGAACATGAGAGGAAACCTTTTTGGGGCCCATTGGCTTTCTGGACGACTTCTTGCGCTTTCCCATTGCGGATCTGAGATGCGAGTGATATAGAGGTTCGGTCGTTTATTTGTCAAGAAGGTGGAATAGGAATATTTGGGTTGCGCGTCTGAGGAGCAGTTGTCGTGATAGTGGGTGGGGGTACCCATTAGCTGGCGCTGACTCAATACTTATCGATAACCAAGGTACTAGTAGTGGAGAATATTGTCAAATACCTAGGTACTAGTTACCTAGATCCGTATTATAATTGGTTCTTCATCACTCCAGGTCTGTACCGCCTACAAGTATGCTTCCATAAGTGCCGAACGTAAGATCCCTTACCTATGCGGACGCTGATGGTCACGCGCAGGTTGAAAGTGTATTACTTGTGTTGCTAGTGCCCAGGGCACTCGCCTACTTGAGTATAAGTACTATCGACCTTCTACGTACAACATTGTAGGTGCCTAGATCCATGTAACTTTTGTGATCGGATTCAACGTCCGCAACATGCAGGAAACGCAGCGCCCCTCCGTATTTACCCCGCACCAGTCGTGCTTCTGCAGATCAACTTGCTGCCGTTTGCGTACTAGGTAGGTAGTCATGTACTCCTCCTCATTTGGACGAGCCGTGCTACAACTGTTGGGCATCGAACGAAGTAGTGGCCTGAGACATGATCATGACCGCCTTTTCGACATGTTTCCGGAGCTAGTCATCTTAACAGCCCGACTCCTGTTATCCCACCCAACAGCTTGTACGGTGTGCAAGGCTTCGGGGAAGGAGCAGGGGTTAATAATCAGCGAGTAAAACTACTACACGGATAAGAATTGTACTTGACATATGTCGTTGAGAAAGAGCCTCTATGGCATGGTCTTTGGCGGGCGTCACCCTTTTATAGGAGAACAAAATAACTTCTTGTAACATCCCATGGGCTATGGCCAGATAGAAGGGTAGATAGCGCTAGCACTGGTGAATCTCCTTTTGCTGGCTTTTCTTTTTTTCGGGGCAGGGGCCGCGCGGTGTTGCACCAGACCACTTACCTGACAGGTGGCAAGCCAAGAATAGCGATCGGATGCAACTGTGCTTGACCCCCGAGATCTAAACCCGCGTGACCTCCCTCCCTTTATCGAGCACGACCTCAGTATCCCCGACAAGTCCGGTTGGATAAAGCAGGAAGTCTTCTCCCATGCATCTACGTACCCTTTCGTTGTGAAGTGTCAACATTTTCCTTTTAGCTCTGACTGAAATACGAAATTGGCATACGTGCTCGAGGATGAATCCGGCAACTCCAGACCCTGCGGTGCTAGATGCGCTTCGTCAAATCCAGCACACACAAACACAGTTACTAACGGCTGTTGAATCTCTCACCGAGAGGGTAGGTGCCGAGGAATCTGATCCAGATGGCTCATCTCATACAAAAATACGTTCGGAAGTGCGAGGTGGAGGGGAATCAACAGGTCCTAATGCCGCTGCATCCGCCCTTCCCATCTCGAGTCCTCGATCCCCATTCACATCGCGTATCATTCTCACGTAAGCTGTCCCTTTATTACAAATTTCTCTCTTTCTATAATGAGGCTAAGTCAATTGATGTCAGGACGTACCCAAAGCAGATTGGGATAGACCCTTTACGAATGGATTGGGGCAACCCAGATCCGACCAAGCGAGGACCAGTTGTAGTTTCGAGATCTCCATCGACCATCCGGCGACGCAATGGTCTGTAATTTTACCTAGTCCAAAAAAATATGACGAGCAAGTATTGACATGTATTTTGTCCTTTCACATATAGCCATCGGAGGTTAGACATTATCCCACACCGACACTAGAGTATGTTCTAACATTAGACAGCACAGTAAGGATTATCCATGAATTCAATGTGCCACGGCAATAGCACTAATTTATACCCAGTGGAGGGTCCTATTCCATATATTATGCACTAGCTGTGGCCAGCAAAGAGCTTGATAGAGACCACAGGTACGTGCTCTACTTGACAGTAGGGATAGAAGATGACCTCTGATCGACACTTTTCGAAGGCCCGACTTCACCAATACTGAACCTGCAACTCGTATCGGCCCCTTCCCGCAATGGGGAGATCCCCGTAAGATTGTGGCCATGGATCCTTGGGGACACCTTACGCCATGGACATTTAAGAATATCATGGAGGAGGAGCACGGTACTTAACGCAGAAGTTGAGTTTCAGAAGTTCCTAGCTGACTGGACGCTAGTTGATCTACGGCCAACAATTGCTATTACAAAAGCGCACATGAAAGTACGTCTGGCCTACATCTTTTTGGCATGAAAATATTGCATTCCCGCTGGACTTCTAATACGCTTCGTCTCACAGCTGCCTGAATTAGAGGAGAGTGTAAAAGCCGGAAGACTGTGAGACGAATAACCCAATCACAACACCACGGTTCCATAACTGATTGTTCTTTAAGCGTGCCCGATGGCAAGGTGTGCCTAAACAAGTTAGGCGAGCTTGCTGTGACAAAGTTTGCTGTTGAACCTGTGAGTTGGCAATCATACGTTATAGGAACAGAGTGGGCAGATCAGAATGTTATCAACGAAACTTACAAACCTTAGGTTTGGTACCTTCCAGGTGTTGCAGAAAGGTTTGGAATTGGTAAGCGGTTCGAATAACTGCCTTGATGAAAACTGCGACTCACACTCCTCAGATGAGGCTACCCTTCGTCGGTCACTTTTCGAACATACGGGCGGTAGCTATCCTGAGGTGCGACGCAACGTCTGATATAAACAATCATGTGCTCACACAAACACAGCTGATTACTCGCGGTGATATCAAAGTTTTTCTTCCACCCATTGGTAACAGCTTCATTCTAATTATTTTCAAGAGTCACAAGTGCTAACAATCTGAAGGCGGGCTGACCGTTTATTGCTTCGGGGATCCAGAGAAGATGTCGGACCAAAATGTTCGATTGTCTCTTCGCATTCATGATGAGGTGGGACAATTACAGCGGAACAATTTCCCGCTTCATACTGACATTTTTAGTGCAATGGGAGCGACGTATTTGGATCTGATATCTGTACATGCCGTCCGTATCTTATTTTCGGTATCGAGGAAGCTGTCAAAGAGGCACAGAATGGTGGGAGTGGGGTGGTAATTTACTTCAGAAAGGAGGGCAGAGCATTGGGCGAAGTAACTAAGGTATGTCCAGGAAACGCTCACCAATATTTAATGTTCCTATATTGTTGTGACGCGCCGTTGCTCTTTAAGTGGTCTTTCCCTAACAGTCACATCAGTATCGTAAGTCTTTCCCAGATTCGAATCTGGTCCCTTATGCTATGATGCTGTTCGTACAAGGTACGTTAACTGGTTTTTAAGTGGTCTACAACGCTCGGAAACGAGGCGAGGATCGAGCTTCAGATTATTTTATGAGGACGGAGAACATTGCCGGTGTCAAAGACATGCGCTTCCAGGCTCTTATGCCCGACATTTTGCACTGGCTAGGCATTCAGAAGATCGACAGAATGCTGAGCATGAGCAAGTAAGTTTTTGCGTCAAACCTGCAGCTGGCACTCAAAATTGAAATTGCTAACTAAATATTTACAGCATGAAACATGATGCTATCGTTAGCCAGGGGTGAGCTAAAACCCGCCATGGTCGAGGACCACAATGAGAACCCATCCCAAATGCTTACCCCAACTAGAATTCCAATCTTGGAAAGAGTCGAGCTGCCAGAAGAGTTGATTCCCGCCGATTCCAGAGTTGAAATTGACGCAAAAATAACTGCTGGTGAGTGGCTTAGTCGAAGCACAAAGACGCCAATTTGAGCTAACCCTTGTTGTCAGGCTATTTTACTGCTGGTAAACGCCTCACTGCTGAGGAGCTTCAATCAGTTCAGGGGAGGATGTGGGAAGAGTAAGTCGTGCCCCTTTTTTAAGCTTGTAGGGGCTTTGCTCATTAGGTTGCAGTATCGATCACTGAGGAGGGAAAGGATCCTTGATCTTGTAAAATGCTGAATAGCTAGTCAATCACTATACACCCCAACACATTATTGCTTGTGCCGACACAGATGTGCTTCCGTGCCTCATGAGCCCCAAAATCAATGCGTCTCGTAGATAATGATACCTGACTCAAAATGACTTTCTACCTTCCATCCAACGCTGCTAGCGGGCCATACACATTATACTACTTGATCCGCAATTTAGTGTACAGTAATGCTTGCGTGTTGTCAATCCAGACGTGTTCCCTCCAACGTGTTCAGCTGTCTGTGGATGAAGATCGAAATTCCTCCTGGGTCTGGTAGGTAGCCACATTGACACCTAACTGAGGCCCCGCCTGTCAGCTGACG